TTATTATTATTACAGTTGTTATAAATGTGACAATTGCAACAGCAGTTCGGACGGTTTCTCGCTGCCGCGCTAGTTTCTCCTAAATACATAGTGATAGATTATTAATATTTTATTTATTATTATTGGATATTTTAGAATTAAAGATTTTTACCAAGAAAATTTAAATTGTTGTTATTCATGTTTTTTATTGAAAAAGTTAATTTTTTTAGAAGAGTTATTGAATTGATTCATTTAACGAGAACTATAAGAAGAGACTGTATGTATATATAAAGTAATTTTCTTATATATCACGGAAAATAAATTGAAAAAAATCGGAATTTTTTTTTTACTATTACGATCGACTAATTAATTTTATTTTTCCTGGGACGATTAATATTTAATATGGATAAAATCGGCTCTTTCATTTTGCTGTGGGGATTACATAAGATGCATATGTGTATATATTTTCCAATAATCCGGTTTTTAACCAGAAAAATTGACTTGACCAATTAATTTATCCAAGGGATCATCGACTGCGGTGTAACATGGCCTATGTAGATCAAAACGTTAATACACTCCCCTGCCAAAAGTATCCAAATACTTTTAGCAGGGGAGTGTATCATAATAAAATTACTAATAAAAAAAATTGTATCTCCTCCTTCAAAAAAAAGATGAAACTATGAAATTAAGAGAGAAATTGTAATAAATGTAATGATAAACATGCTGACAGGGAGTTTTTTTAAATTTTATTAGTAAAAAAAGGAATTATAAGGATCTGAAGTTGTGCGTTAAAAATTTATCGATTTTTTCTTTTGAAAATCTTTTCCTTTTAAAGAAACAGTCATTAAAAAAAAAAGAATCGCATGTAGAAAATCTCCAAATTTTAAGAATTAAAAGTTTTTAAATAAATTTTATAGAATGCAGGACATCTATAACTATCAATGATTATCACATGACTTAAAAGCCTATAACTCCTTATTAAAAAAGGAAAAGAAAAAAAAGTAAACCGATAGAATCAAAGCTAAAGACCTAAGCTTCATTTCCATCTGTTTCTATATGTAAATTGTAAAATTTCGGGATGATCTAAAAGCCTTATGATCAGTGTATAATAATAAAATTCAATGCGTGTGTAACCGTACATTAGTAGTTTTCTGCAGATAGTTTCTAAATTTTTAAATTCCGGGCTGTGATATTTATACGTAGATGAGTTTGAACCATATAGTTTTATTTGGTGATTGAATTCATGAAATTCAAGAATATTCGTTAAGGTTAAAAATAACTGATTTGATACATATAGTAATTTGTTATAATGATGTGATCTATGCTTGGTGATCTACAAGAATGGAACGCCCCAATCATCGATGAACCATGTGGGATTGACCAAATGTTGATGTGATCAGGTGATTAAGTTTCACCAGTTCCGCCATAGTTTAGATAGAAGAATCTCTGTTTGTATAAATTAGGAAGATAATTGCTTTTTTCTCGTATATATACTATTTGGGAAATCAATTTATTAATAGAAAATATTAGTTAAATGTTTCACAATTAGAAATTAGA